CAACAGGACACAAAGAGTCTTTCACCACTTCTTTTATGACATTAAAATCGAAAGAGAAAAACGTTTTGATTTGTTTTCCTTCTCCCTTTGTGGACTGCAAAACCTATTTTAGTCTGTTTTGAATGACGTGCTATATTTAGATGAAAAAGTAGTTAAATGAAAAAAGGATATGTTAGTAATCAAATGGTAACCCATGACAAGTAAGGAAATAATTTCAAGCGCGTTTTGTCCAGGTGAAAGAAATTATTAAGATTCTGACAATCTGTGTAAGTGTAATTATTCCCAAATAGTCCATTTTCGAAGACAGATTTTTTACAGCCTTGGCTTCCATCTGAAGTAATATATTCACAAGTTCCAACGAGAAAAAGACCTGTTTATTACTCTGTCTATTGTGTATATTCAAATTTCAAACACTTACTTGGCAGAATTTCTGAATATGTTACTTTACGTCGAAGCTAACCCTGTATGAATGTGTCGTTAATGTTTATATTCAACGGTAATTTTTAATTCGAAACTCGACTATTACACGAGCATACCAGTTGATTACTTATTAACATCATGGGTGATGAATTAAGTTCGCAATCGTGGATTTTTAACATGTTTATCCTTGTTTATCATATCGATCGAGAACTCCACGCTCTCAAAAGTTAAGAGCTTCAATTTGGCTTAAGTTCACAAATTTCGGAATTTTTTGACAAAATGCTTGTTAGAATCCTTCTCGATGTGCTCTGTCGTGTGTTTGGTTTTTCTAAGGCGTCTTTTAATTCCCTGAAATCTTCATTCCTTTACACACCATATTTAAACTTCGTGGCTATCTTGGCACTGGGACGTATGGAAGGTTGTCATGGCATTTTTTGCAATTTCATATGTGAAATTATAAATTAGGACTGAAATTTCGTGCCAAAATTAAGGAGTAATTCGCCACAGTACCCATGATATTATATTGAATAACAGAATTAGGTAGGACTTTCTTGAAGAAAGTGCCCTCAAGATTGTAACCAATCATGCTTCTGATTTGTGTTGTTTTCTTCCCGCCTGAGCTTGCTTTGTCAGGGAAGGTGGCGAAACGATCAGGCATTTGTTGGTGATGTGGCAAAATGTCCTTTAAATGCTATTTTGAGAGAGGCGCGGGGCAAAAACAGTAAATCATACTTTTCAATCACGATGTTCGACCTACCCTGAAGGATATAAGAGGGTCTCAATGGGGTGGTAGCTATAACGGTGGCAGTTAAATTTTTCCAATTTTGGTGGTTGATGGTTAAAATCGAGCACCTTAAGGCCCCGTCCACACGTATCCGGATATTTTTAAATCCACAATTTTTCCTTTGCAGATTCGGCTTCCAACCACACGTATCCGGTGAATCTCAAAAACGAATCCGCAACTTTTTGAATCCGCTATGAATCCAGAATTGCATGAATGCTCAATCTGGATATTTTTGTATCCGTTGATGTAACAAAATCCAGCCCAGTTCTTTACCCTGAATACTGTATTCAAGATGGCAACTTCGTTCCCAGGTTCTCTCTCTTACCCGCCTTTACGACGCATGCTCTGTTGCCAATAGGCTGAATCCGGCCTTCCGGCCTACGTGTCGGATACGTGTGGAAGGGCAAATTCGATTTGAAAACCGATACGTGTGGAAGCAGAAATCATTGAATCTGGAAAGAAAAAGTTGTGAATTCAAAAAATATCCGGATACGTGTGGAAGGGGCCTCAGAGCTCTACCCTTGGTATTGAGTGGGTAATTTGTAGGGAGAGACCTCATTTTAGAAAATTAATAAACCCTCTGTCCTTTTATCGGAGAAGTTTGAGTGTTACTCGTTACAATAAAATCACCTCAGATGCGTCATAGGTTTCCCAGTTCAAAATGATCCTGTTCTTATAGTGGTTCTTGTGCTCATTGGTGACATTAAGAGCTTTTTCTTCTTTCTCGGATAACATTTGATCAGATTTGTAGGCGTAATAGGCATTTTGATCCAAACCTGCCACAACCTTATACACCATTGTCCAACCTTGATAAAAAAAAATGCGAAAGACAGGATAACGATTATGATAACCTTAATAATGACGGTGATAACGAGTATGCTAATGATATTGAAAACGATAATGATAACAATAATCTATTTTTTTATAACTATTTTTTTTTGCAATAGAAGTCGGCTTGTTATCCTAGAAACCTGCACGCAAACAATTCCAATAATGAACGGCAACCTACTTGTAGGAGGACACGACTCTCATTCACTCGCAGATTTTAAGCTCGTGAAAACTTCCACTCCACTTCTCCTCGGAAAGTTATATAAACGGGTTTAAGTTAAGAACACATTTTAGTCACTATTGTATCTCAGAAATCTGACAAGGACAAAAATGACTGTGACTAGCAAATAAGGAAATATCTTAGGATGAAAAACGTTTTTACATATGAAAAAAGGATTATTTTTGGTACAACAACAGTCCCCTACTTTCCGTAAGACCGTCGCCATCTTGGATGAGTGTCAAATCTAC